ATATTAGTTTTAGCTCTATGGCATAGTGGTTGGACAACCATATAATTTACAAAGTAATCCTTTGATAGTTCAAGTATCCATCTGGCTATTATATATTAGGTCTAGTAATAATTAATGTCGTTTTCTAATACTTTTTTAAATCGAATTTATTTAAACAATACAACAAAATTTAATCAACAATATAGTTGCTGTTGTTTTCTACTACTTGTGCCCAACGCTCAGGAAGCATTTTAATCCCTCTGTTGTAAAATTCTTGTGATTTTGATGCAAAAAATTTGGTCAATGCATTTTCGAGGCATTCTTCATTATTAAATTTTTTTCCAAGAAGAAAGTTTTGCAAAGAACGAAACAAATGGTAATCGGAAGGGGCAATATCAGGAGAATATGCAGGTTGAGGGAGAACTTCCCATTCCAACTGGCACAGTTTTTCAGCAGTGATTCTTGCAGTATGCGGTCGTGCGTTATCGTGATGAAGAATTACGCCCTTCCGATTAATCAGCGCGGGTTCTTTTTCTCTTAAAGCTTGGGCTAACCTTTCCAATTGGGCACTATACACTGCACTTGTAATGGTTTGGTTAGATGGTAAAAGTTCATAATGAAGAATTCCTTTAAAATTCCACCAAACACACAACATCACTTTTTTCGCATGCAAGTCAGGTTTTGGCATGGGCTGCGGAGCCTCATTTTTGTCCAACCATTGAGGCCACCTTTTCAAATTAACATACAGCACCCATTGTTCATCTCCAGTAACAATTTGCTCTAAAAACGGCAAACAGTTTTGACGAGAGAGGAGCAAACTGCAAATTGTGACTCTTTGATTACGGTTGTTGTCGGTCCACTCATGAGGAACCCATTTTCCAAACTTTTGGACTTTGCCAAGTGCACGCAATTGATTGGAAATTGTTTTTTGTGAACAATTTAAAGTTGTCGCAAGCTCTTGTTGGGTAATTTGAGGATTTTGCACCAAAAGAGCTTGAAGAGCTTCTTGATCAAAATTGGACACACGGCCTCGACCACTCTTGTCATCTAACGAAAAATTTCCCTCGCGAAATTTCTCAAACCAACGCTGGCATTTTCTGGTGCTAACTGCATCTTGACCAAGAGCACTACAGATGTTTTTTGCAGCTTCACTTGGTTTTCTTCCTAATTGGAACTCGTAAAGCATGCAGTGCCGAATATGCTCTTCATCTGCCATCTTCTTAGCCCTAGTTTTGCAACAAAAACCAAACCAAACACAAACTTTTTCAAGCAAAACTTGTTAATTGCACTTCACACGTTCTGTAGATACCACGTGTTTGAAGGTTATGTCAATACAAGTCAACGCCAAGCAAGATTTTAAATGAATGTTAAAAAACGACATTAATTATTACTAGATCCTAGCTATTACAATATTATTGACTATATTTTCTATGCTGTACTTTACATCCCTTTGACTATTCTGTCACTACCAATTTGTGCTTCTTTATGTCTTTACTTTTTTCACCTGGCCCTCTCTCTTCTGGCAACTATCAATCTGTTCTCTGTATCTATGAATCCATTTTAATTTGTTCATTAATTTTGTTCATATGGTATTTATGTCTATGTCTGACTTATTTCACTTAGCATAGTATCTTCTAGGCTCATCCATGTTGTCACAAATGGCAAAATTTCTTTTTTTGTGTGGCCAATTAGTAATTCCACTTTACGTATGTGTCACCACTTTTTGAAATTCACTTGTCTATTGGTGGGCACTTAGGTTACTCCCATATATTGGCTATTGTAAATAATGCTGCAATGAACATAGGGGTGCATATATTTTTTCAAATTAATGTTTTTGGTTTCTTTGGATATATTCCCTGACATGGAATTGCTGGCTTGTAAGGCAGTTCCATTTTACGTTTTTTGAGGAACCTCCATTCTGTTTTGCACAGTAGCTGCACCAATCTGTATTCCCACCAACAGTGTACAAGGGTTTTTTCCTCCACAGTCTCATCAACACTGTTGATTTATTAATGATAGCCATTCTGACAGATGTGAGGTGATATCTCATTGTGGTTTTAGTTTTCATTTCTCTGATGATTAGTGATATTGAGCATATTTTCATATATCTATTGGCCATTGTATGTCCTCCTTGTGAAGTATCTGTTCAGGTCCTCTGCCCATTTCTAAATTGTATTGTGTGTTTTTTTTTCAGTATTAAATGGTATGAATTCTTTATAAATTTTGGATATTAACCCCTTATCACTGGCAAATATCTTCTTCCACTTATTAGGTTGTCTTTTCATTTTGTTGATAGTTTCTTTTACTGTGCAAAACTTTTTAGTTTTATGTAGTTTCATTTGTTTAGTTTGTCTTTTGTTTGTGATATATCAGAAAAATATTGCTAAGAGAAATATCAGAGCATTTACTGTCTACTTTTTCTTCTGGAAGTTTTATGGTTTTAAGTCTTTCATTTAAGTAAGGATCTTCAGATTCTCAAGGGAAGCCTCAGATATGAAAGACAAAAGCAAAACAAAGGGGAAAAAATGATATGATGAGCTACAGAAAACTTTAAAAATATATTAGATATATATATTCAAAAAGGCAAGAAATATTGTAGTACCCATGAAAAAAGAACAAGGGGTAGTAAAATGGTGACCTTAACTTACTAAGAATTGCAATTAAAATATGATAGCTAAAATTAAAATTTTTAGGCAGGATGGAAAATAATGAAAGTGGAACATAATGTCAAAATTGATAAAATGGCATTAAAACTGGTTTGGCTCAGTGGATAGAGCATGGGCCTAAGGACTGAAAGGTCCCAGGTTCCATTCCAGTCAAGGGCATGTACCTTGGTTGCGGGCACATCCCCGGTAGGGGGTGTGCAAGAAGCAGCTCATCAATATTTCTCTCTCATCGATGTTTCTAACTCTCTATCCCTCTCCCTTCCCTTCTATAAAAAATCAATCAAATATATATATTTTTTAAATTGGCAAAATGGCAAAGAAAGGTTAAGAAAATCAGAAGATATTTCCAAGAGATCTCACATCCAAAACAACAGGAAAATGTTCTGAAAAGAAAACAGAGAAAATGGAGGAGGAGGGAATTATTCATCCTAGCAGAACATTCTTGGAACTAAAGAACATCCGTTTTCAAAGCAAATACCATGTGCCCAGCACAGAGAGGATAACAAAAGACTAACATAAGGATATATTGTGATCAAACGAGGAAGATCTCAAAGCTTCTGAATCGAGGTAGATGTGGAATAGGGAGGGCCTTCCATGCAGTATCATACAGAGCAGCAAGAATTAAAATGTCATTGGACTTACAGAAGCAGCAGTGGAAGTTAGGAAACAGTAGAACAGTGCCCTAATTTTATATTGAAGAATATTTTTCTCATTGGTAATTCTAAATCCAGCCAAAGTGCCCAGTCTAAGATAAAAGAAAGACAATTTCAGTTATTCAAGGTCTCAAACATACCTCCCAATGCACAAAAAGATCCTGGAGGGCTTATTCCACTTCAAAGGAGTAAACCAAGATGGAAGACTTTAGAACCAGAATTCAGATCTCACATGAAAGAGTCCCTGAAATGATAAGGGAGAGGAGTCCCCTAGTGACAGTTGCATAGTCAAACCAGAACATAACCCGGACTAGTGCAGGGGAATGGAGAGCTAGCTCTAGGAAGGCTGTCTTCTGGAAAAGAAATGATTTGGAAGGATTATCTACTGTATCTCAAGGTACTGAGAGAAAAGAATCAGACCAGTGGTAGGTACACAGAGAACTGAGAAAGAAGAAAAGGAGATGGTTTTTATTCCCGAGGCAACAAAAAATGTGCAAGAAAAGAAATGTGATCATGGCATGAGATGTGGCTCATTAGTGGAGAGTAATGTAATTACTAAATAAAAGATTGACCTGTATTGGGAGGATGAGGAGAGCAATGCTGTGTGTGTGTGTGTATACAGGAGTGTAGGTGTGTACTAGTAGATATGAGTAGGAAGGTCAACTTTCATTAGGATTGTGGAAGAGACTGCTGGCTGCCTACCTTAACATTCATTCTTCCTTGCTCCTTAGTAATAGAATTGTGGATATGTCTTTGGGGACGAATCTTTCCAGTTAAAACTACATTTCCCAGCTTCACTTGCAGCTAGGTATTGCCATGTGTCTAAGTTTAGCAGAAATACTTCTGGAAATCTCCTTAAAAGGCACAGAGTGAGCCATTAGTCTCTTCCTGCCAGTGGTCTGGAATGGGAAAGTAATTGATGGAATTTCTGCCATTATCATGGTCTATGAAAAATAAAAGATGTGCACCAAATATGTAGAACAGAGAGTTGGAAGGATCCTGAGGCCTTGATGACATTATAAAGCTATCATATCAACATTAGACTGGCTACCAGTACCTTGGTTTTATGTAAGATAATATACTTGTATCTTAAGCCATCATATTCAGGTCTCGGTTATATGTAGCAGAACCATATCTTAACTGAATTGTAATTCATTAGATAATACCTAAAATTAAATATTAATGAATAACAGTACAAGCGTAATATTTCATTATAGAAGTCAATATAAACAGGAAGAAACTTAAAAGGAGTTGGTTTGGGCAGTGCGAATTGGGTTAAAGGTCAAGGATCACTTTTCTCTTACAACTTTTAATCTAATAATTTACATTTTAAGTTATGTATGTCTTACTTGAGTAAAAATAAGTTTATATTTCTTTAGTTACATTTAACTTAATATTTCAAGTAAAAATACATGTACATTGTAAAAATTCAAACCGTACAAAAGATAGAGAGTAAAAGTTATACTTCCCTTCAAATGTTCTTTGCCTGTCCACTGCCCATCAGTTTTACTGTCCTCCCCAGGAATAATGGCTGTTTGATATGTGTCTCCATACCTTTTCTGTACACTCATTAAGTATACAGAGAGATGCAGTTTTCTTCTTTTATTTATTTTTATTAAAAGTGTATTTAAATATTAATTTAAGAAAGTGTGAATGAGGAAATACTTAGGCTTGTAATAGATGTTGTTTGTTTATATTTTAGAATCCAAGCTGGAAGCATACAGTTAAAAAATCAGCAAAATGAAATTCAGAGGTTACAGAAAGAATTGAATCATTTACAATGTGAGTTAGAAATTAAACAAAGACAATCACAGGTCCTCAGGTAAGATTATCTTTACTTAATTGAAAATTATAAAGGTCGAAAAGATACATTTAATTCTAGCTTTATAAACATTCAAATACAATGTAGTAGTATAGTTTCTGTATTCAGTGTGCTTGAATAAAATTGAAATAACTTCACTTGTTTTTTGTTGTTGTTTTTACCATTATCACAACTGAATGGTTTTATCAATAAAATTTAAGTCAGGCAAGCATGTTGTTCTTATTTTGCAGTGACATTCAGATTGAAAACACAGTAACCAATACATTTTCCCTTTCTTGGTGTATTTTATTTCCTGGCACACACACAAAAAAAATTTTGAAATATGAATTACTTGTCCTTTTTCTTATTTGTAAATCTATTTAGACTCCATCATCTTTGAAAATTTTCATGCCACTTCCCAAAAATCTCTCTTCATAGCTCTCTTACTTTCAAGTCAACTCTTCAGCCTTATTAAGGTTTCTAGTATTTTTCTCTGATTTTCCCCAACCATTTTTTGGCTTTTGTATTTTAGTCTTGATCAAAGCAGCTTTATTGAGACCTAATTGCATTTTATAAAACCCATACATTTTAAGTGGCAATGCAATGATTTTTAGTAAACTTGCTGAGTTGTGCAACCCACAAACATCTTCATATCATTTGCATTTAATCTCTGCTCTTACCACCAGTCCTAGGCAACCTTCTTCCTGTTTCTGTAAATTTGCACTTTTCTGGACATGTCAGATATGTGGAATCATATGTGGTCTTTTACATCAGGCCTCTATCACTATGTTTTTTTGAGGTTTATTCATGCTGTGTCATGCATCAGCACTTTGTTTCTGCTTTTATTGCTTTAATAGTTTCATTGTGTGGATACACCACATTTTACTCATCCATTTACCAGTCAGTGGACTTTTGGATTCTTTCCACTTGACACTTATGAATAATGCTATCGTACAAGTCTTTGTGTGGATGTATGTTTTATTTCTTTTGGGTAAATCCCTAAGTGTGGCATTACTGAATCATATGGTAAATTTAAATTTAACTTTCTAAGAAACTGCCAAACTGTCTTCCATGTGGTTGAACCAATTGATAGCCCCATAAGGAATGAGGATTATAGTTACTCTGTATTCTTACCAACACGTCTTATTGTCTGTCTTTTTTATTATAGCCATCTTAGTGAGTGTGACATGATATTTCATTGTGGCTTTGGTTTGTATTTTCCAAATGACCAATGATGGTGAGCACCTTTTCATTTACTTATCAACCATTTGCATATTTATTTGGTGAAATATCCATTAAAATATTTTGTTTTGTTTGCCAGTGGTCTGTTTTCTTATTGTAGGATTGTAAGTCTTCTTTATATGTTTTGGGTGAAGTCCTTTATTTGAAGTATGATTTGCAAATATTTTCTCCCAGCCTATTGTTCATGTTTTCATTTTTGTAATAGTCTCTTTTGATGAGCAAAAGTTGTTATTTTTAATAAAATAAAATGTATCAATGTTTTCTTTAATGGGTTATGCATTTGATAATGTACCTAAGAACTCTGACTAACCAAAAGTCACAAAGATTTTCTCCTGTAGTTTAGCTCTTACATTTTATGACTGATGTATGGCAAGGATCTAAATTCATCTTTTTTTCTTGTGGATGTTCAATTGTCCCAGCATCATTTGTTTGAGAGACTATTCTTTCCCTATTAAATCGTCTTAGTGGCTTTACCTAAAATAAGTTCACCATAAATGTGGGGAATTATTTCTGGGCTTTATTCTCTTCCATTAATGCAGTGTTTCCCAAACTTCTCTCATGATGAGAATCACCTAGTGGAGTTGTTAAAATACAGATTCCTGAATCCCAACTAAGAAATTCTAAACTAGAATTTTTGGGAACATATAGGTAAAATAAGTACTAGAATTTTTGGGAACATATAGGTAAAATAAGTATACAATTTTACCTATATGTTCCCAAAAATTCTAGTTTAGCACTTCTTAGTTGGGATTCAGGAATCTGAATTTTAACAACTCCACCAGGTGATTCTCATCATGAGAGAAGTTTGGGAAACACTGCATTAATCTATATGTCTGTTCTTAGGTCAGTACCATTCTCTCTTAAATACTGTAGTTTTTTGTACATTTTGAAATCAAGAAGTATAAATCCTTCAAATTTCTTTGTTTTTAAGATTGTTTTTGGCTATTATGGGTCCCTTGCACTTCCATATGCATTTTAGGATCAACTTATTAATTCTTGCAAAATAGCATGCTAGCATTTTGATAGGCATAGCATTGATTCTGATGATCAATTTAATTTTCATCTTAAAAATATTGAATCTTAATTCATGAACATGGTATGTCTTTCTATTGGGATCTTTAGTTCTCAGAGAAATGTTTTACTTTTAATATACAAGTCTGCATTCCTTTTACTAAATTTATTTCTAAGTGTTTTATTCTCTTTCATCTGGTCATGAAAGGTATTGTTTTCTTAAATTTGTTTTTGGAATTGGCCGTTGCTATTATGCAGCCATAAAATTGATTTTTGCATGTGGATCATGTATACATGTGACTTTGATGAACCCACTTATAAGTTTTTAGTGTGTATGTATGTTTGAGTGTGTGTGTGTGTGTGTATGTGTGTGTGTATAGGATATAGAAGATATTTCTACATAGAGAATTTTTCTACATAGATGATGTTTCTGCCTAGAAGAGTTTACTATACTTCAACTCCTTTTACCTCTGCTTATTTAATTTTCCTTAAAGCCCGCAGTCTTCATTCTAATGCACAGATTATTAAATACTAGGCCCTCCAACACTATTCTAAATCCTCGCTGTTCTGTTTAGATTTCCCTGTACAACACATCTCTCATTAGCTCTGTGTCTTGCCTCATATTTCACAGAGAACATTAAAGATATCATAATGGATAGATTTACTGTGAATGAAATAATGTTTAAGTTTCAGAACCCTTTACTCAGGACCCCTTTTCAAGGTTCTTAGAGGGCCCCCAGCAAAGTAAGATAGTTTGATAGTAATTGGTTAAAAATTCTATCTTTTTCTACTCTGATTTCTCCTCTTCTATACTTCTGATGTCAATATGCCATTGGACTAGTCATAAGCATTTGGGAGCTATAAGGGAAAGATGAATTGGGAATACTCCGTTATAACTGCCATTTAGAAAGACATTTTAGAATGGTTCAATAGCACAATTAAGGAATTACAGACTAAAATTTTGGATGTTCATGAATTCTTTAAAAGTAATAGAATAAAAGCAATTTCAGCAATAGAAATTATTCTGGCATAAACAAATTGTAATGATGCTTGTTAATGTTACATCACAAGCAAATGAATTAAGAGAAATATTTTTTCAATAAGAGGTCTTAGAGTATTTCATAATCCATTTAATGAAGAAGAGTTAATTATTTAAATATTTTGGAGAAACATTTAAGTTTCTTGCTGATTTGACAAAAAACTACTAACATCACTGAATATAACATAAAAGTCATATTATACCACTTCAAGGACATCTAAGATAAACTGGTTCATGAGTTTCATTCTTTTATTTTTAAGCTCATCTTTAAAAAATATTTTTTAATTGATTTCAGAGAGAAAGGGAAAGGGAAGGAGTGATAGAAACATCAATGATGAGAGAGAATCATTAATTGTCTGCCTTCTGCATGCTCGCTACTGGGGATTGAGCTCACAACCTGGGTATGTGCCCTTGATTGGAATCAAACCCAGGACCCTTTAATCCACAGGCTGATGGATGCACTGAGCCAAACTGGCTAGGGCGCATTTCATTCTTTCAAAAATAAAATAAGACTAGTTATTTTCACACACACAAAAAAAAACTTGAAATGTCAAAAATCTTATAATCATCTATGAAAAAAATTTGAGAAGGATTTTTCCAAATATGACAGCAGTTAGTATTTAAATAACATCATCAATAGTGAGCTATGAAACTGAAAGATTTTTTAAACTATCAATAATAAAAAATTAATGGCCATGCTAGATGAAAGGTTGTATAATCTTTACATTTTCTCCAAGATATTATTATAAAATGGTTCTCATATGAAAAGGTGCTTATAGATCATGTAGCCAACAATTATAGGCAAAAGTATTGTGGAACTGTTACTTATTAAAAAATTATATTGTTTTCCTTTATTTTGTGATATTGATGGAATTGATCAACTTTAAAATTCTTATTTTTAAATTTAATGATTTTTTCTCATTCTATAACCAATTGCACACTTTGAAACCTAATTTTCTATGTCATTGTTTTTTGTATTTTTTTTTTTGAAAAATCATACAAGATTTAGTCTCACAAAATCTTGCTCTTAACTGCTCTTAACGAACAAGTTTGAATTTTCTGTTTCCTGCCTCTCTCCCTACAGAGGCACCTGTATCCTCATTCAGTCTGTTCTGTATCACTCGAGAGCCTGCCGGTACATGGCTTACACCAGGCCCATTAGCCCCTTAACCTTGAGTTGGTTCATAGCTCTTGTCTGCCTCTGCCAGTTTCTTGCTACACATTCAGGTTTCCCACCCTCACTTTTGGCTTTCTTCAGTTAGTGATCTATTTGGACTCTTACTGTGCCTTTTTGAAATCAACATCTCTCTCTGCTCCCAGCTCTACCTGCTGATTGAGGCATCCCCTGTGGCTTCTGATCATTCGATGGGCCTTAATTACCATGCAAAATCACACCACCCCTGTTCTTCCTGGTAAAAGCTAATCTTTCAGTCTCTGCTTTACTTACATCTGTCCTTTCTAGGACTTTACACAAGAACCAAGTGCATCTCCTGGTTGTGTTTAGCCTATGTGACTGCACTCACACTGTGTCCAGCTGTGTACACACGTTCAGGTGTCTCCCATCCTAACAAACCATTCTGCTCTGTAGTGTCCTCTTTCTCTTCTTGCTGCCTCAGTCAGTGTTCTCAATTGTAGCTACTGCATAGCCCCTGTTTACTCACTTCTGCTTTACTATTCAGTTCTTTCCTGCCTAATGCCTCTCTCTGAGATCACCTAACGCAGTGTTTTTCAACCTTTTTTGGGCAAAGGCACACTTGTTTCATGAAAAAAATCACGAGGCACACCACCATTAGAAAATGTTAAAAAATTTAACTCTGTGCCTATATTGACTATATATAAAGTAATTCTCTTGAATAGGAATCAAATAAACACAAAGAAAGTATTTTATAATTACTTTATTATGAAATATTAAGTAAACAAAATAGTGAAAAATTATAAAATTCTTGTCTTGTCTGCACCTACGGCACACCAGGAACAGCGGTTGAAAAACGCTGACCTAACGCCCCCTAATACCAGATACAATGGACTCTGTTCGCCTTTGTCTGGGGCCTCAAACAGTAGCCACTACTTTCTCCTTTAAACTGTCTTGCCCCTGGCTTCCTGACAGTATTATTTTGGTTTTCTTCTAGCTCACTGGTTGTGCCTCCCAAGTCTCCTTTGAGGGATTGTTTTCTATTCAATTCCCATAAATGTTAATATTGTCCAGTGTTTTATCCTCAGCACTTCTTACAATACTTCATTCTTCCAACTGAGTCATCTATTTTTTCATTCATTTATTTATTTGTCAATATTTGTTGAGCATGTACTGTGCTAGGTGCTAGGGAGATTGTGATGAACAAGACAGACATATATAGTGTTTGCATCATAGATCTTAGTCTTCTCAGGGAAATAAATATTAACCAAATAATTACAGCTCCATGGATTCACTCATCATCTTTTTTATGATAATTCCCAGGTTTATGCCTGCATCTTTCTTGATTTTAGGTAAATTATAGTCAAGACATCTGAAGTTAAAACACACACATACACACACACACACACACACACACACACACACACACACAAAACACTGTGATTATATTGAGCGATGGCATTTCGTGAAGCAGAACTGGATTAATCATTTTTAAAGGTTTTGTTATTTTTACCCGAGGTTTTAAACTGCCTGTGGATCCACGGTATGCTGGGAGAATTCTATCTAAGAATCCAACATTCTCATTTAGGCTCTGTGACTAAGTTACTTTTGACCTAATTTTCTTCACTTAATGTTTGCTGTTAATTTTAAAAGATTAATAGAATCATCTTATGTAATAATCCTATATAATAAAAGGCTAATGTGCAAATTGTCCTCCTCAACTGAGAGTTCCACTGGGAGTTGGAGTTCAGCCATGGTCTGGCCAACCTCCCACATCTCTTCTTCCCCAGTCTGGCCCAGTCAGCCCTGATTGGGGTGGGCTAGCCGGACCCCACTCATGCAGGAATTCGTGCCCTGGACCTCTAGTTGCATATAAAAATGGCTGTTTTTCTAGTTAAAATGATAACAAAGTGGAAAAGAGTTAGGAAAACCATATACCTTAGGCTTTCTGGGATGTTTCCAGTTTATATCTGTCATCTCAGCAAAATACAAACAGCACATCACTTTCAAAATTGTCCCCATTTAGACAGTAGATTATAGTCACTCTAAACCCATCTTTCAAAGAAAACTATTTTTTCAAAGAAATATTTGTTACTATGCTTACAATTTTAAAAATCCTTTGTTTTTACTACCTTACAGTCAAAGATTGTCGGAATACAAATATTTTTGGAATAAGACTCTTTCATTACTTACTTTTACTAAAAGGGAAATAACCAGCATTAAAAATGAAGTATATGACCATTTTCAAAACTGGACTTCACTGAAAGGAGAAGTTTTTCTTCAAATTAAATACATAAGTGAAACAGCCTTGACAGGTTTGTTACATACATATAGAATGTAATTGTCTTTTTTTTTTTTTTAAGTAGTACATCATGAGTAATAAAATACTGATTCTGCATTTTATGTGATGGGACTTAACGATGAACCTTGAAACTTGTTATTGGCTGACAGACTAGAAGGTCATTATGGTCTATTGAAACCCTGAAATTCAGTAAATATAGGCTGGTCTAAGATAAGCTGTGAAATATCTATTCTTGAGCTGTGGTCAGAAGTCTAGTTATTTCTGTTAACTGTACCGATTTGCATTTTAAAACGTTTTCTTCTATTAATAGCTGAGTAGCTCATATTAGGTCAGCCTTCCCACAGATAACAATGATAAATTTAGGACAAAATAATTATCCCAAAATACTGTATAGTGACCTAAACCAGGCATATATGGTGAAAATGTCAAAAATTGAGAGAAGGCATATTCCTAAGTGAAAACAAAAAAGCCAGTCTGTATCATAAGATTCCAACTAAATGACATTCTGGAAAAGGCAAAACAATGGAAATGGAAAAGGGATCAGTAATTGCCAGGGTTAGAGAGAAGGATGAATAGATAGATTGTGATGAAGTTCATAAAACTTTAGAAAGAAAGAACGCTGTAATTTTCCCTCAGACCTAAAAAGGATTTTTAGGGCAGTGAATATTTTGTATGATACTATAATGGTAGATACATGTCATTATACATTTGTCAATACCCATAGAATGTACAACAGCAAGAGTGAATATTGATGTAAACTGTGGATTTTGAGTGATAATAATGTGTCAATGCAGATTCATTGGTTATGAGAAATTTACCATTCTGGTATAGGATACTAATGGTAGATTATAGCCTCTATTTATGTGATTATGTCACTTTTAACAAAGGCACCAAATAATCCAATGGGAAAAGAAAGTCTATCACTAAATTGTGCTATAACAACTGAATACCCATATAGGAAAATATACCTTAATCCCTACATCACATAGTAGATAAAAATTAATTCAACATAAATCACATAATTAAGTATTAAAGCTAAAATTGTAAAATAAGAAACAGGAAAATGTCTTCATAAATTGATAGTAAATAAAAGTTATTTGGATAGGGCATAGAATTAAGAGCTACAGAAGAACAAAAATTGTTAAGTTAAACTTCATCAAAATTTAAAACTTCTGCTCATCAAAGATGCCATTAAGAAAATGAACGGATAAGTCACAGCCAGAGAAAATATTAAAAAACAACAACACTGGAGAGCATATGCAAAGCAAAATAAGCTAGTCAGAGAAAGATAAATATCACATTATCTCACTCATTTGTGGAATATAATGAACAACATAAACTGATGAACAAAAATAGATCCAGAGACAGAGAAGCATCGTTCAGACCATCAAACCTCAGAGAGAAGGTAGGGGAGGGTGGAGTAAGGGGGAAAGAGATCAACCAAAGAACTTGTATGCATACGTATAACCATAACCAATGAACACAGACACCAGTGCAGTTGAGAGCATGAGTGGGGGGGGGGGGGATGTACAATGGAGGGATAAGGACACATATGTAATACCTTAATCAATAAATTTAAAAATTATTTTTAAAAGGTGACAACAAACTGCTGTACAGGTTACATTAAAACAAGTCAGCCCTTGCCGGTATTACTCAGTGGTTAGAGCAGGCCCTAATATTGAAGGCTTGTGGTTTGGATTCCTAGTCAAGGGCTCATCCAGGACTCAGGAAGGGCAAATTTGGGAGGCAACAGATGATGTATCTCTCTCACATAGATGTTTTTCTCTCTCTCTCCCTCCTCTCTCCCTTCCATTCTCTCTAAAAATCAATGGAAAAAAATATTTTCAGGTGAGGATTAACAACATAAACACACACACACACACACACACACACACACACACACACACACAAAATCTATAAGTCAACAATAAAATGACAAAAAATCCAATTTAAAAATGGCTAAAAGATTTTATCAGGCACAAGGAAAGATATACAAATGGTCAATAAGAACATTAAAATGGACTCAATATTATCATTCATAAGGGAAATGCAGATGTCATCAGTACATACCCATCAAACTGAGTAAAAAGAAAAAGATTGACAATAAATATTGGTAAGGAAGGAAAGCAATGGAACTCTTACAAATTGATGAGAGTATAAAATGATATAACCACTTTGAAAAAATGTATGATGTGCTTTCTAAGACTACAGAGACTTCTGTCTGATAACTCTGAAATTTTTCATTTTGCCAGTTATACGCTCCAGAAAATGAAGGCATATGTCCACAAAAAATACTGAATATAAAAATATTCAACACCTTGATTCAGGCTTTATTTAAAATAGCCTTAAACTGGATAAACCCAGAATTAAATCAGAATAGGTTATCAAAACACACACACACACACACACACACACACACACACACACACAAAAAAAAAAAAAACAAAAAAAAACAAACACAAAAATAAAAAACCTGAGTTAAAAAATGAACTATAGATGCTACTTCATTGTTGTTTTGATTTGCATCTCTGGGATGATTAGTGACTTTGAGCATGTTTTCAGATGCCTCTTGGCCTTCTTTATGTCTTCTTTCCAAAAGTATCTATTTAGGTCCATTGCCCATTTTTTTTATTGGGTTGTTTATCTTCCTATTGTTAAGTTGTATGAGTTCCCTATAAATGTTGGAGATTAAACCCTTATCAGAGATAACATTGGTAAGTATGTTCTCCCATGCAGTGGGCTTTCTTGTTGTTTTGTTGATAGTTTATTTTGCTGTACAGAAGCTTTTTATTTTGATGTAGTCCCATTTGTTTATTTTCTCTTTAGGTTCCATTGCTTTGGCATATTTCTGAGATTTTGCTGCCTGTGGATTCATCTAATATTTTTATGGTGTCCCATCTTATGTTTAAGTCTTGTATCCATTTTGAGTTAATTTTTGTGTATGGTGTAAGTTGGTGGTCTATTTTCATTTTTTTTTGCATGTATCTATCCAATTTTCCAAACACCATTTATTAAAGAGACTGTTTTGACTCCATTGTGTGCTCTTGCCTCCTTTGTGTGCTCTTGCCTCCTATTAATTGGGCATAGGATTTGGGTCGATTTCTGGGTTCTCTATTCTATTCCATTGGTCTAGATGTATGTTCTTGTGCCAGTACCAGGCAGTTTTGAGAACAGTGGCTTTGTAATACAGCTTGATATCTGGTATTGAGATACCTCCTACTTTGTTCTTCTTTCTCAGGATTGCTGCAGCTATTCAGGGGCTTTTTTTAAAAATATATATATTTTATTGATTTTTTACAGAGAGGAAGAGAGAGGGATAGAGAGTTAGAAACATCGATGAGAGAGAATCATCAATCAGCTGCCTCTTGCACACCCCCTACTGGAGATGTGCCTGCAACCAATGTACATATCCTTGACCGGAATCGAACCCAGGACCTTTCAGTCCACAGTCCTACGCTCTATCCACTGAGCCAAACCGGTTTTGGCATGGGGCTTTTTTATTCCAGGTGAATTTCTGGAGAGTTTATTCTAGGTCTATGAAATATGTCATTGGTATTTTGATGGGGAGTGCATTGAATCTATAGATTGCTTTGGGTAGTATGGACATTTTAATTATGTTGATTCTACCAATCCATGAAAATAGTATGTTCTTCCATCTATTTATGTCTTCCTTTATCTCTTTTTTCAGTGTTCTGTAGTTTTCTGAGTACAGGTCTCTCACCTCCTTAGTTTAGTTTATTCCTAGGTATCTTAATTTTTTTGGTGCTGTGGTAAATGGGATTGTTTGTTGTTCTTTTTATTTATTATATTTTTTAATTTATCGGGGTGACATTGGCTAATGAAATTATATAGGTTTCAAGTGTACAGTTCTATGATACATCATCTGTATATTACATTGTGTGCCCACCAATGTTATCTATTTATCTTCACATTACTCACTCTATATTTGACCCCCTTTACCTTTCACTACCCTCATTCCCTTCCCTATGGGAACCACCACCTTGTTGTTTGGGCCTATGAGTTGTTGGGTTTTTTTGTTTTGTTTTGTTTTGTGGTGTTTTTGTTTTGTTTTTATTGTTCCATGGAAATTTTATTTTATTTTTTTCTTCTTCCCCCCTTAATAACCTCCCCCAGATCTCCCTTACCCCCCAGTACATGCCCTCACCTGCCTCCCCCAGTGTCTTGTATCTATTGGTTATGCTTATATGCATGCGTATAAGTCCTTCGGTTGTTTTTTTAATCTCTCTTTCTGTAAATTCACTATTGGTGTATAAAAATGCCATAGATTTCTTGGTATTAACTTTGTATCCAGCTATATTGCCAAATTCATTTATTAGGTCTAGTAGTTTTTTGATGGAGTCTTTAGGGTTTTCTATGTACAGTATCATGTCATCTGTGAATAATGACAGTTTTACACCTTCTTTTCCAATTTGGATACCTTTTTTTTTTCTTCTTCTTGTCTAATAGCACTTTCAGTACTATGACGAACAGGAGTGGTGAAAGTGGACATTCCTGTCTTGTTCCTGTTCTTAGGTGAAATGGTTTTAGTTTTTGCCCATTGAGTATAATGTTGGCTGTATGTTTGTCATATAAGGCTTTTATTATGTTGAAGTATGATCCCTCTATTACCACTTTGCTTAGGATTTTAATCAAGAAAGGGTATTGGATTTTGTCAAATGCTTTTTATGCATCAATTGATATGACTATGTGATTTTTATCTCTCAGTTTGCTTATGTAATGTATCACATTTATTAATTTACTGGTGTTATACATCAAGAAATCAACAAATGACAAGTGCTGGCGAAGATGCAGAGGAAAAGGAACCCTTGTGCACTGCTGGTAGGAATACAGACTGGTGTAACCACTGTGGAGAACAGTATGGAGTTTCCTCAAAAAAAACTAAAAATGGAACCACCATTTGACCCAGTGATCCCACTTCTAGGAATATATCCCAAGAAATTAGAAACACTAATTATAAAGGATATATACACCCCTATGTTCATAGCAGCACAATTTACAATAGCTAAAGTTTGGAAATAGCCTAAGTGCCCATCAGCAGATGAAAGGATTAAAAAACTGTGGTACATCTACACAATGAAGTACTCCACTGCTATAAAAAGGAAGGAACTTTTACCATTTGCAACAGCATGGATGGAACTGGAGAGCATTATTGCTAAGTGAAATAAGTCATTCAGAGAAAGATAACTATCACGTGATCTCACTCATTTGCAGAATATAATGAACAACATAAATTGATTAACAAAAACAGATCCAGAGACAGAGAAATATTGATCAGAGCATCAAACCTCATAGGAACTTAGGAGAGGGTGGGGGTAAAGGGGAGATCGCCCAAAGGACTTGTATGCATGCATATAAGCATAACCAATGGACACACCAGGGGAGTGAGGGCCTGAGCTGGGGGTGGGGGAGGGACAAGTGGAGATAAGAATGCATATGTAATACCTTAATAAAGAAAATTTTAAAAATGAACTATAGAATGAATTGCTGATAATACAGTTAGCTTTGATCAATCTAAAAAATACTGTACTTCCTGAAAATTAGCCTTACACAATAGCACATATTGTGTGATTCCATTTGTAGGCTGTTTTAGAATGGGCAAAACTATTTTACAGAGGGAGATAAATTAGAACATGAATTATCTTAGAGTGAAGGGTTGACTGGAAAAGGGGCACTGGGGCACTTTCTGCGATGATGGTATTGCTATTTGGTAGGGGTTTGGGTTACACAGTGGGTGCATTTATTAAAAACTTTACATTTGAGATTTGTGTATTTTGTAGGTAAATTATACTAAAAAAATAAGGAATTTATATATTGAGGGATAATTACTGATATGCATGCTGAATGAAGTATTTAGGAGTGAGTATACTAATGTCTCAATTTATATTGAAATACATAAAATATGATAGGATTGATGGGTAGCTATGTGAGAAAGCAAATATAGTAAAATGTTAATTGAAGAATCTACATGGTGTATATATTTTTGTTCACGTATAATTCTTCCCACTTTTCTGTATGTTTTAAAATTTTTATATAGTTTAATGTTAGAAAAAAATTTTTAACCATACAACTTCAGTTTCCTAATTTTGTTATATGTTATATGGCTTCAAGAAATGAGTTTGTATATGATCAATATCTTTTTAAATTTTTAAATTTTAATAATTAAATTCGGACAAATACAGAGGGTGGTCCTGAAACAGGGAAAGCACAAGGCAGGAACAATGACCGGAATAGGTTGGTCTGATGGAGATCATAAGTTCTGAACCCCAAATTGGGACACATGACTGACAAGCATGAAATTGCTTTAATGATGAAAATAGGATTGAATATTTGACACCAGATTGCCACAGGGATATGTGGTTTGCCGTGGGTGAGTTAATTCACCTCCCTTGAGTTTACTCTCTTAATCCCATGTAAGAAACATTGAAGCTCTTGTTAGTTTTGAAATCTTGCTGTACTTTTCCATGTGTTAGAATACATTTGACAAATGAATCTGCATTGCTGATTCTAATTCTTTTAATGTCATACTGAAAGTCATGTTGACACAAATAGTTGGTTTAGAGACAGACGGTTGTGCCCACTACCAGTCAGCCTGCTAGCCTAGGCGGCATCATCTGGCAGCGTGTGCCCCTCTGCAGTGTCATGCTGACTCGAGCATAGATGGTTAGAGTACAGTACATACAAGTTAGTCACAAGACACCATCTTTATTAAAAATACGCAGGAAGACTTTTCAGATCCGAAAAAAAATTACATTCTTTCTAAATCTCTATGTGTTAGTTTTTCTCACATAAATGTGTGCTCATTTTTAAGTTTTTAGAAGCATATAACTGTTCTTAAGAAAAATGTTTTTATGCAATAACTGGAATATGGTAGACCCCAATGGCTCCTGCCAATTTATTTCCCCAGTTTTCCATTATAAGCAAGAATTAAAAGTACAGAAGGTACCAGACCTAGGTCTGTCTTACATGCCACTTTGTCTTCCGGACAAATGTTTTCCCACACAAAGACATTTTGCTTCTCTCTCCTTGGACCATGTTCCTGACTGTACTCACCACCTCTTTTAAGATGTGCCCTGGTCTCTGTGCCCTGTTCCAGCACACTGCTTTACTTTTCCTATAGGTATTTCCTGGCCATATTAGCTGCTGCCGGGTCTGTCCCATTGATCTCTGCTTCTGGTCCTCACTGGCCCAAAGGGCTGCTGTTTTTGTTGTATTGGCCCCACAACCAATAAACCAATCCAACCTCCTTTGACCTCTAATCACATGTTACATCCATCATGTGGCCCAGAATGACCTAAGCAAGGAAAGGAATGCCAAATGAACTCTCTGGAAAGCAGGCTGTCCAGATTTTCACATATTCATCATTTCAATTAATGGTGGTTGTACAAATTTTGTAGTATTTTATCATTATTGTGTGTGTTTGTATATCTTCGTAGTGAGATTTAAGGCAGCATTGCTAAAAAGGCTGATGAAAGGATAGCTTGGTAATAAATTACCACTCTGAAGGATAGCATGCTCCATACATTTCTCAATGAAATTATATAGAGCTAGAGGCCAGATGCATGAAAGTTTGTGCAAGAGTAGGCCTTCCTTTCCCTGGCTGCCAGCACAGGCTTCCCTCTGGCATCTGGGATCCAGGCTGCTGTGCTCCAGCTGCTACCAGCAGGCACCTGGGTCCCAGCCTTTGCTCTGGCCCTGGCTTTATCCAGATGGACGTCTAGAATGACGCCTGGAAGGACGTTTGGTCTACTTAGCATATTACCCTTAATGCTGTGAAGGCCTATTTTTATTGCTTTAAGTAGATAGGAGAATGACAAATGATTGCCATGATGAAATTCTGGTCTCATTTTGAGGGGATAGAGTATTGTTAAAATATATTAACTAATACTTTATGTCCATAAATTCATTAGTTTTGGACATTGCATCTTTCTATTCCTTTCCACCCTTATTACTTTTCTCAAAATTTACTTTTTTTAAAAAAAAATTTTATTGTTGAAAGTATTACATATGTCTCTTTCCTCCCCCCTCCCCATTAATCCTCTCCAGCCTGCTCCCACCCTTCACCCCAGACTTACACCACCTAATTGTGTGTCCATGGGTTATGCATAAATACATACAGGGTCTTTGATTGATTATCTCCCAAGCCAGCCACCCTCCCTGACCTTCCCTCTGAGATTCTGCACTCTGTTCCATGCTTCCATGTCTCTGGGTCCTCTCTCTTCATCAGTTTATGCAATTTGTATAGATGTATGCTAGTTACTCTCCTAGAAATGCCATTCAGCCAGCTCATGCTAGCACATTTAAATTTACCTTTCTGAATCATGTTGCCAAGAAAACAATTTAATTTCAGTAAAACCCAGAACATTACACAGATATGTTACTCATTTATGTGAGTATTTAAAAAGCAGGCCAAATTGCCATTTAGTACAACTTTAAAGACAAAAAAAAAAAATCCCAAGCATCCTAAAAGGTATAATGCATAGTTTAGCAACACAATTCTTTTTCTTTTTCAGAATAACCATGAAAGCTTTGGGTTTGGTGTCATTATACTCTCAGGAAAGTCATCTTGGCTTTCAAATATTAATTTTCTAAAAGAAAATAGTCACTTTTTGGACATTATAATTCAGTGTTGTCTATTTGTAAACTCTGAATTTTCTTTACAGAAATAGAGATACTGAATAAAAGTCTGGCAGTGGCCCACAGAAATAAGGTATGCCTAGAAGAGGAAATGAAAAGCCTCAAGTTGCTGTCAGATGCAGCCATTCTGAGGTCTCAGCAGATTGAGACCGCTAAACAACAGGAAGTGAACCTGCAAACCAGATGCCATGACTTACAAAAAGATATCCTAGGTAAAAGATTTTTTGTGTATGTGGTTGGTAGCAACTGTCCATAATAAATGTCTAAATTTTTATTTCTCTTAAAATCACAATAAAATCATTTTTTATTACCTTGTGTTGCAAATATGCCTAATTATTAGTAACTATGCCAATGGCTGTCTTTGACCCATGTTCATTGTCATTCCTTCCTATTCTATTTAGAATGGCAAGGAAAGTGGAGATAGAAAGATGTTTTAAGACTTCAGGAAAACAAAGCAAATTTACTTTAATGTGAGATTATCACAGTGGATTGGTGGCTTAGCTCACTGAAGGAAAATACAACATATGCTTTTTACAAAGTGAATCCAAGTTTTCAGGCACTCCATTTTCCCAAATGAAAATATTAAAATTGTGTTTTGGGCACCTTGTTTCCCTCTACCTCAGAGGAATGGATATCTTGGCAATAAGGCTATGAAGTATGCATCTTTTCCTGAAGGCACTGTGGAATCACTGAGAATTGATAATTATGAGAATGATATAATAAAAGCAGTGTTTTAGCAAAGCTAAGCTATTAGCAATGAATAGAGGTGTTCCAAACATCAAGTGATTGGAACCAGATAATTAGAAAATGTCTTTATTGCTAACCCAGCCCCTAGACTAACCATAAGAACATTTTTAAGGACCTAATGTGTACTAGTCACCATGCTAGCACTGAATATAAGATAATTGTGTCAATTCTCACAGTGACCATGTAAAGCAAGTATAAGTACAATGTCTTACAGAAGAGAGAATCAAGGGCCAGAAATGTAATATGCCTGTCCACCCCTAGCTGGTAAATGGCAGGGAGTGAAAGCAAATCAACCCTTATGCTCATCTGCTTGGCCCTTGTTATGTTGAGGTGCATTATCTCCACAATAACTTTGATGAGAATTTTTTTTTATCATAAATGGATTTATATTGTGTCAAGTGCTTTTTTGCATTTATTGGGATGATCATATAATTTTTATTTTTATTTTATTAATGTGGTAGAGCACTTTGGTTAATCTAGGCATGTTGAACCATCCTTGCATTCAGGAACAAATCCCTGTTTGCTAGTATTTTATTGAGGATATTTTAATTGAGTTCATCAGTGATACTGGCCCATTCTTTTCTTTTCTTGTAGGATCCTTATCTGGTTGGTATCAGGGTAATGATGGCCTAGTAAAATGAGTTTGGAGAAATATAATCTTTATACCCTAAAACTTTAAACTTATGCTGAATACTATATTATCATGTGTTTTCTTATAAACACATTTTAAAGTTGTTCTAATAGTTTAAATACTATTTTACATTTATATTTTATTCCCATACCTGTTATTTTTAGAATTCACTTTTAAAGTATCTTTCTCTATTTTAAGCTATATAAGTATACCTTTTTTATGTCTTCCAGCCTCTGCCCCCAATAATGTGGTACTAATTGAAAGCTTTCTAGGCCAAGAATTAGAAGGCCATCGCCTACATACATTAGCCAGATAATTCTGACATGCCACTCATCCCTGATAAGTAATGGGTTCACACCTAGGCAACTGATTTGCTGAACTGTAATACACTGTATTTATAGTTCTTGAAGACCCCTTTAGGCTTTCTTTAATACACTGTAATTCTGGTACAATTGGTTCATTTCCAAAGTTAAATAAATGTTTGTTTTTTCATTTTAAATCAACCTTGAACAATTTCAACTTTGATTCAGGTAAATAGTCTTTATGATTACTAATTTTCTTCATAAAAAAGTTTTAATTTGGTTTTCCCCACACTTTCTCTTTATTTATTCTTTGAAATACAGACACTCAAAAATTTAAATACAAGTGATAACTCTGGTGCATATGGTTTAATACTACCCTGTTTCCCCGAAAATAAGACAATGTCTTATATTAATTTTTGCTCCCAAAGATTCGCTAGGTCTTATTTTCAGGGAATGTCTTATTTTTCCATGAAGAAGAATACGGTACACATTTATTGTTAAATGAAAATAAAGAAAATTTATTACCTGTATTTGGTACGGTAGTACAGTAGTTGTCAACACAAACCAGACAAACTGTGAATCCTACAGAATCAAGAATTTACTCATTTATTCAATGACAATCATGTCATCATCTTCTGGAACATCATCATAACAATTCAATTCCTGAATTTCCTGGTGAATTTCTTGTGACTCCATTTCTTTCGGAATCAGTGGACCAAATCTCTCATGTTTAGCCTAGGGGGGGGCTCATTTTGGGGGGGATGCCTTATATTTCACTCAGAAGGAAACCTGTAAGTAGGTCTTATTTTCGGAGGATGTCTTATTTTCGGGGAAACACGGTAGTTTAGGAGTAAATAATAGACTGTCAATAGCAGTCTAACTCTTAATGCCAAAATTTAATCTTTTTTCATAGGAAAGTAAACAAGAAATAAAATTTTAAAGACTAAGTTTACTTTTAAAGGTTTATTTACATAAGTTTTGTAATTTTATGTTTAGGTCACACTAATATAACCTCCAAAATGCACAATTTATCTCATTTGACAATATTCCGCTCAGAGGTCATTGTGACCCACAAATCAGTCCACTTAAATGGTTTCTTTCCACCTCATAGAATAAAGTGTCTTTTACTTTTGTCAGTAGTCACAAATATTGGGAGACAGAATTCAGATAAATTACTTCAGCATTAATTTTTGTCCAAAAACTTATTTGACCAACATTTAAATTTATTCCAAGTGGAAAAAAAGTCAATGTTTTTCCCACCAGTATGCTCTTTGGCATAATAAGTAATATGCAGATATTTTAATAACATTATTTTGCCTATAATATTTTTCATCTTTATTGAATTTTTAAAAATAGCTTTAATGATAAATAATTTAAATATCATAAAATTCACCCATTTTAAGTATATGATTCAATGATTTTAGTATATTTATAGTTATATAACCATCATCATGATGTAATTTTAGAGCATTTCTGTAACCTAACAACAAAACTCACTGTCATTAACAGTTGCTCTGTTGCCTATCTGCCCCCTGCCACCCAATCTTTAATCTACTTTCAGTCTCTACAGAGTTGCCTATTCTGGACATTTCATATAGTAAGAACCATACAATATGTGTTCTTCTGTGCCTAGCTTCTTTGACTTAGTATAAAGTTCCTGAGGTTCATCCATGTTTTGCATGCATGAGTACTATATTCCTTAGTTAATAGCTTCTTTATTAAAGTGTGTGGGGGGGAATCAGAATGAGTAATGTTCAGTAGGAAAAATAATTGATCAAGGAAACAAAAACTTCTGCTTTCTGGCCCTGTTTATGCCTTTTACAGCCCCTTTGGACAACTTACTAATTTCTTTGACTCAGTTACATCATTGGTAAATGGAAATATGATAGCTTTCCCTGCCTACCTTAGAGCAATAGGAGAATTAACAAGATAAAATATAGGTACCCCTAAATAAGTATAGAAATATTATACTGGCCGAAACCAGTTTGGCTCAGTGGTAGAGCGTCAGTCTGTGGACTGAAGGGTCCCAGGTTCGATTCCGGTCAGGGGCATGTATGTAGGTTGCAGGCACATCCCCGGTAGGGGGTGTGCAAGAGGCAGCTGGTTGATGTTTCTCTCTCATTGACATTTCTAGCTCTCTATCTCTCTCCCTTCCTCTCTGTAAAAAAATCAATAAAATATATTTTTAAAAAATATATTATACTGCATATTCCTGGTGCAAACCAAATTATAATAATTAGGATTAAAGTTTCGGAATTTCCTTAAATGCTTCTGTAATAACAAAGGAAAATCATACATTTTATTATTTTTTTGATTTTACTGATTTCGGAGAGGAAGAGAGAGGAAGAGAGAGAAACATCAATATTGAGAGAAAATCATTGATTGGCTGCCTCCTGCACGCTCCCGACGGGATGGAACCCGCAACCTGGGCTTGTGCTCATACCGAGAATGTAATTGCGACCTTACCACTGCTGTGGAGGTGGGAGAGGCTCCTGGCATTGCAGCTGCACTCGCCAGCTGAGTCTGGCTTCTGGCTGAGCTGTGCTCCCACTGTGGGAGCACACTGACCACCAGGGGGCAGCTCCTGCATTGAGTGTCTGCACCCTGGTGGTCAGTGCATGTCATACCAACTGGTTGTTCTGACACTTGGTTGATTTGCATATTACCCTTTTATTATATAGGATGTGGCTATTTGAAAATGTGAATACTTTTATTTTTTAATTTATTTTTTAATTTTTTATTAAGATATTATTTATGTACATATCTTATCATTGCCTGCCCCCCACTCCCATAGATCTAAACTTCTCTATCTTCTATTTATTTATTTACTTTATTAATATCCCTAAGTCTTTTTCTTTTTTATCACATAAATATTTTCGGCTAATATTAAGTTCATTATAAGTCACTGTCTCTTTCTACTTAATTAACTTTATGTTCTCCATATACATTACTAGTATTTTTTAGTCTTGAATAATAGAGTTTTATAATCTCTACCCCCATTTTCTCTATCATGAGATCTATTATGAAATATATATAGGTGAATTTATTTGTACAAATTTGTCAGAAAACAAAGAACTATTCTAAAGTATTCAGAAATTTCTAAATCCACAAGGATTGTTTCTATGAGATGGAAAAAGTATGTTAATTTTGTCACTTGAGAAGAGTGGTTAAATGATGTATCGAGGGTAAAAGAATAGATTGATTCCTATCTTATTCATAATTTGCAATATTTTATAAGCCCATATAAATTACAGTTATATTCATGTTGTAGTGGGTTGGTTTAATGTTCAGAATTAAAAAAAAAAAAAGTGGAGGTTTAGAAGCCTTTTTTTTTTTGGACGTGAAGTAAATTCTTGAACCTTAATATTAGAGTATAATTTATTTCCAAATTTTAAGAACCTGATTATCTCCTTAGCTTGATTTAATTCACTTTCCCACTCTCTTCTTTTCACACAAACCAAGCTAATAATTTTCTGGTTTTCATATAACTACATCTGGACTGAATTGCAACTTTGTAGCTGCACATACATTC